TTTCGTGCTAAATACATTGAGACTCAGATAAAGCGCATTTTATCATTTTTTTTTTTTTTGCCGTCCAAAACTGAACCTCAGCGTGTAGAGTAGAAGTAACGAAACTTTGCCATGGGTTGTCTGTCAAAAGGTTATTACACACCTTGTTATGAAAGGGCACGATAGGTTTTCAATTTATATTACTTACGCGTTTTGGGCTTTGAGGGCATCACTATAGCTTCTGCAGAGTGAAGAAAAGTAGATTCAGCACTAAATACAATTGCAATTTAGCGAAACAGAAAACCATAACAAGGGTTGTAAGTGTCCAAGGCTGGTTTCTTCGCTTCTTAGAACTGTCTAATGTTAAAAAATATGAAAACGAATTGCATATTTCTGATGGCTTTGTTGACTACGCTTAAAGCACCCTAGTGATAGAAGACCAGCATTATCGCGACCTTGCAGGAATTCTCCTACCACAAGGATACGCGACGCTAGGTGTGTAAGGAGAACAAGGCAGACACATAACGACAGTGACTTCGTGACCATTGGCAGAACGACGAATTGAGCACAGGAAGTAACGTTCATTCCATTCCTCGGTCTTTCGGGTTTTCATTTGACTTTGCATTTTCTTTGCTAAATCTTCATGATAAGAATAAGGAAGTACAGGTCAAGCCAAAAACGTATGGCTCTTTCTTTTATCTTCTTATCCAGTCCTTCTCCTCTCTGCTCGCGGAAGATAACTTTCGAACACGCTTCCCATTTGTGCGATATCGCGAGAAGTCACGCATGGACGGCAAGTCAGAGGAGCGCAGCTCGTTTCGCTAGCTAGCGTGGCCGGAAATGGAGAGCTTGCTCGCAAGCTGCGTGCTGCACCCTCTCTTGTGTTGGTAACTAGACGGCCCAAAAATATACCACCACTGAGGAAAATTAAGAGGTTATGTACTCGTGGTCTAAGCTCTGGGTTATAAATATCATGGTACATTTGTTAAGTTCATACCTGCCATTGCTGGAGGTTTAGATTCCTTTGCATCAGCACCTTTGTGTTTAACAATGTAGGTTTCAGGGTCTGTATAATATGTGTGTAAGTGGACAATTCAAGTTAAATTAAAATTTTATATCTCAATGTTTTTCATTTATTTTACTAGCGTTACCGGCGAAACTCGACTGGTCGTTGCTGTTTTTAAGCATAAGAAGTTAGTATCATGCTCAATTAAAAATTTGCTTCCACATATTAACATATGAAAAATATGTTATACTTAGAATCCCATGCAATATGTAGTCCTTCTCGTTACAAAATTTCAAAATTTCTTGGTGTTAAAGGTGTTTATGAGTCCATACATTCCTTGAAAAATTTCGACCTATTAGCTTGGTCTCGGGCTTTCTGACTTAATGCTTAAGAAGCAAAGGTAACGGAGCAGGAACAATGCAGAGAAGTGAGAGAGAAAGATTCAAATTTGTCGTATTTCAAGTTCCTGCTTCTTTCGTCCACCGTTTTTGCACTGTGTTAAAGGGCCATAAAACCTTGCTTAAATACAACTCTGTTTTCGTTTTACCTGAGATAAGAGCGTTCAGTACCTTCCACAACGTTAACGTTCCTTAGTAGTAGCGTCCTATATCATAAGGTTCTCCTCTCTGCTTACCTGACGGAGGCCCTTGTACTAGAGCCCCTGTTGCTTGCTGACTCATTTGATTCCCTTGTGGCGTATGTAAGTCCATTTTCACGCCGTTAACTTTGATTTCTTGTACGAAGAATATAAATCGAATCAGCTCCTTGTGAAGCAGAACTCCTGACACAAGAAATTTTAAATGGTACTTACCTGGTAACTTTTGATCTTTCTTTCCAACAACCATGGCAAACACTGAAGTTTGTAACAGATAAAGTAGTAGTAAATAGATGTACTATTTCAATTTCTCGATTGAATTTGTAAACTCCCCGATGGCTTCTATAGGTAATCTCGTATGCCAGTGGAACAACATGAAATCAAAGACGCCAATTCTCTCATGCTCTCACATAATTGCATAATGCACAATATGATAGAAAGATAACTTATCTCTTCAGTCGCCTAAGAAGATAGCCTCCCACGCAGACGTTCTTAGGGGTTCCTGCCCCACTAAGTGGGACAGTTAGTAGGGCAGGAACGCGTGACGAACCCCTAAGAACGTCTGCTGAAGGACTTACATAAAGGAGCAATCAACACAGTGGATTTTTTTTTTCTTACTAAGCCGACGCAATCGTACCTGTGTGTTGTTGTTGTTGTTGTTGTTGTTGAGCGTATGCGCAGAAAGTGATTGACAGCAAAACAGCCAATAGAAGCTGTCCTCGGTCCATACTGACTTCCTTTTGATGGAATAATGAAATAGCAAAGTAGTTAGATTTTCAAAGAACTCATGGACGGCCTCTCACCCGTGCAGTGAGTCTCTCCTCATTGCTAGGTAGGGATGTTGGGAAAGGCAAAGGTCCCTTGGTGCAATGAGTTCTCTTCACGTTTGTTAGAGCGCCCCTGGGAAGGAGTCTNTAGGAAATAGAATGAGAAGACTGATAAGGATAAACGTTTTATATCTGTAAGTACACTATGCAAGCTTGAAAGAGAATACTCACAGACTTTTTAAAATTTAGTAAGAGGTACGTTACACACTATATCGCATTCGCCTAAAACAGAAACGTGCAACCCCGGCGTGCCAACAAATAAACTGGAAATTAATGGCAGTCATTTCGTTAGGACACTTTACCATACAGTTGCTTTTTAACAATTATTCCTCGAGCCCGAATGGGCTCTGAGTCAATAGCCCATGAGGCCGAAGGCCCAATGGGCTATTGACTCAGAGGCCATGAGGGCGAGAGGAATAATTGTTTTAGTAAAATCCAACTAGTTGGTCAAAAATATCGAGAATAAAAAAATTTTCGCTGTTTAAAGCTAGACTGTAATCCTTTTTTGCCGCCAAAAAGCGCGCGCTTTTCGCTACTAGTAGGCCATAACATATAGCCTTGTAGTAGCTTAACCAATCAGAACGCAGCATTGATAATAGACCACTAGTTGGATTTTACTAATAAAACTTACAGTGGGGCAAAGAACATCCTAGTATAGTCTTATTCATAAAGGAGGTTGTAAGGTTCCGCTGTATTAGAACTATAAAAAAGTTAGATAAATCCATGTAATAGAATTATTGTAAAGATTTTCAGTGATATGATTGTCACAATGATTTTGAAGTTCTGGCTTCTCACACGAGAGACTTAAAACTTGTGGTATGACCCTACCTGCGGTTTTTGCGAAACTCAATTGATCCGTCAGTGACGTAATTTTCCCTAATTTAATTCATACGACGCCAAATTTATTTAATAGATTAATTGCTATCCGGACAATTGATCAAACAGTTTTATCAGCGTTATAATAAGGGAGGATGTTATATGGTGATCCCCTTTTTATAAAGACATTGTTTTGATGTGAATGGAAAAGACAGTTGTTTATTCCCTTTTGACAGCTATCTTTTATCTACCAGTTAACATTTTCTGATAGAAAAAAAGCTGTCAATGAAATCAATCAATCTCTTTGCTGGCTATCATTCATTCGAACTCAGTTTCGACTACTTCATACTCATAGAAAGCATAAAATTCATTCCTTTACATTTTCTTGATCAAATAACTGGCTATAAAACTATCTAGCTTCAAAGGTGTTGACCCTGAACAAATATCACAACATCATCATAAGGCAATTTATAACTTCACGATCATCTGGCTACTCTAATTTTATAAAAAGTTACGCTCATTTTAAGTTATGCTCAGAGGTTATTTAGATACCAACATGAAAACTCTTACCTCTCAAGATTATTGTTTCTTTTTTGTTGTGGAGGTTAGATGAAGTTTTGGTGATGGAATTTATGTCATAGCACTAAAATACTAAACAGCGCAGTGAACGATGTTGTCTCTCTTGACACGTGACCTCTCGACAACGGGTACTTTTATTTCAAAACCAAAAACACCAACTATAACACGTTTGTTTGGCTTTCTTAATCACGCTATTGCTGGTGTCAGTTTTTGTGTTCCAGATGTCTTTGAAATAGTTTTTACAAACCGCAAGAAAACTATAACAATCATCACAAAAAGCATTAACGCCAAGGGTGACTATAAGGAGTTATTGTTTGGCTTTCAGGGATTCTCAAAAATTGAGAAGCAGTTGATATTGCGAAAAAGTACTATTATTAATTCACTTTTTTTCCAAATTTCAGAATATTTTGGACTCCCTGTTTTCCGCTTTTACAAGAGACCACTGTGAATGATCTTCCGTGCAACACCACTTCAGTGGCCAGTGCGGTGTCATAAGTTATCTCCGGTGATGCGTCAATCTTCGAGTATATTTTTATTAATTCGTTGATGTTTAAAACCAATTATGTAAACAAGTCAGAATTATTGCTATTTACCCAGTACTTGACTAGTGGGTGGATATTTCTTTTCCAAAACTAACAGGGTAACTAAAGTAAGAACGTTTTTATCTGCAATGTACCAGCTGAGTTAAAGACAAAATTGTAGCTTTTCTTAAAGTATTTATCATGGGTTTAAACTATAAAAGGACAATTGAGTGATGACATCACTTTTACTATAACTATCAGAATCCTTCAGTTTGTTGTTTTCTTGTGCAAATTAGGGCTATTGTTTTAACCTCTGCGGGATGGACAACTTTAGATTAAAAAGCACAATAGAAATGAATTCTTGTAGTTGAAGTCAAATGTCGTCATCGTGAAATGGCCTAACCTCAAATAGCGAGGTGTTAAAACAAAGAGCATTATCGACTGATTATTTCCCTTTTTCTGTGCTTATCAGTCGTAAACAGTTCTTTTCATTGTACTGCACAGCCTTCAAGTTTTATACCCTGGCATAATTATATTTCCAGATATTATTAAGAATGGTCAACTGGCAGTTAGGTATTGTATGGAGCAATTAAGTTAAAGCAAAACACCTTTTTGTCTCCGTTTGCTTAGCCCTTATCTCCACAACCAGCGAACAGACTTTCCTTTAATCTTCCTAGGTATGGTCAAAGCGACTCTGTTAGCTGGGCGTAATCTTTACTCAGAAAACCAATTGTGACAAGAGAGACAGCAATAAAACAGAATATTTATTGTTGGCAGTTTTTCGCAGTTGGTGTTTTTAGTGTTTGCGGTTGACGATTTGCTTTGCATGGTGGCTAATTTTCCTGCAAACACCTTTATGGCAGCTTATACTGGCAATGTTACAGTACCACACAAGATTCTAAATTGAGGCTGTCTGTGCATCTTTTTTGAGTCGGTACTTTTGGTGTATTTTGAGACAATTTTTAGAAGTGTTACAGTGGTATTTTATTCAAGAATACCCCATATTCTTTGTCATATAGTGTCCTTAGACAGGGAATACTTACTTTATGTGCACTGACCTCGTCGCGTCCGGATGATTTTTCTGATATAGTTACTTATATACTGTAATGATAATTAACAATTATTTCTCGAGTCCGAGTGGGCTCTGAGTCAATGTTTACTTGCCTACCGTCAAACAAACCTTTCATCTCCTTTTTCGTTTTTTGTTTTTCCTTGTAAAACTGTTACAAAATTATTCACGCGCATAAACGCTTTGCACTTTTTGTAATGTTAGCTGCTTTTTTTTCAGGTGTTTTTTTTTCAAGTAGAGCAAATTGGATTTCATGGAGTCAGGAGCCTGAGTCGTAAACTTCGGATTCTTCATCGATCGTATACAATCGGTGTCTCCTCAAGGGTACTCGTTTGTCTTCATCACTGTCGTCATCTTCAAAGAGAGGATTGAATGTCACGTTACTGTGAACCTCGCTTTCAAACAAATCGCCGAG